TGTTTGGTATGAAGCGTAGTTGATATAATATAGGATATAATATAAGTTTAATAGACGATGGAATGTGAATTTTTAAAAATAAAAAAATACTATCCAGATGCTGATGTTATTCGATGGATATTTTGTCTAGACCAGACAATGCTTGCGTAAATGCACATCTGGGCTAGAGATGATAAAACTGTTCGTAAGTTTTTTAGTCTATTGACTTTGTTCAAAATTTATTAATCAATACCGGATTTAGAGTTCTAGGTTAAGGTCATTAGATTCAGTTATTAACTCAGTTAAATAGATTCTTTGCCAGAACACTAAAGTATCAGTTGGCAAATATATCAATGGCCAAAAGTACCAATAGGCTAATGTTCCAGTGGGTAAAATTACCAGTGGGCTAAAGTAACAGTGGAATAATGTCAGTGGGCATATGTAAAGCAGGCAAAAGTCAGTTGGACAAATATCCAAAACACCACATAAAGCCTTCGGTTCCTACGGTCTGTTCTAATATAGACCTAGTTTTAAACTAGTTCTGCATTATTAATTGTCATCTTGAGCATAGTTTTTTATCAGTTTGATGTGATTTGAACTTTTTTACAACTTCAAAAATGGGATGGCTTGAGACTCATATGGCTTTCGGAGAGTAAACCAATGTTTGGCTCGATACCATACCTAAGTAGAACACTTAACATGATGTTTAATAAATTACTAGACTTAGGAACGAATTATGACAATTTTTTGAAATTTTTTTACATCTAGGACTTTACTGGACATTATGGGAAGGTTGGGAACATTCCTTAATAAATAGTAATTAGTCGTCCCTAAGTCTAGTAAATTACTGGACATACGCGCTTAGTCTGCACCGAACCTACATCATTAATTGAAAAAAATCACCAAATTAAAGCAGAATATTTCAAAGATTTATATTTGATTACAACTTACGCAAATTACCCAAAATTATGTCGTATTCAAATAGATAAAACAATTAGGATTCAATCAGGATTTAAATATTTATCAACTCAATATTCTGATTATGTTATAGACGTAAATGAATGCTGTATTTGCATTATTAATGTCAAAACAAATCAAACTGTTGCAAAAGTATCTACTTTAGTTTATCAAAGCTTATTCAATCCCCGTATCGAAACATATCATCTGATTCAATAAACTTTTGCCTATCATGCGTATGAAAATATAAACAAAAGATTGTTTATAAATGCACCCAAACAATAATATAAGCCAAAAAGCTGTTCCAATGACGTCCACAGATCGTTGACATTTCATCAAATATTATTTGGCATTTTCATATTTATTAATGAAGTTATAGTCAATAAATAGCGATGATCGTAATCATCTGATTGCTGCCTATATATTATTTATCTATATTTTTGGCACATGTCAATCATAACCCGAGCTTGTTTATTATTTTGGTAAATAATGAGAATCTATTACATCACAGAAAGTGATGCCATTGTGGATAGAATAAATTATTGGGAATAGAATGGACGTTAGAAGATCCGTTAGGGGAAAACATCGCGGATATATACTTTTTTTTTGTGTTTATTTAATGAGAAAATCGAAAACGTCCAGAACTATTACAGCATCTTGTTGTTGAATTTATTATTAGGGATAGTTTTGTTGACTGGAAATGACTTCATTTAAAAATAATTTTTTTTATCATTTCTCACATGAATAATGTAAATAGTAAATTAGTTGAGATGAGTTCATTCATAAATTTATTATCTCAAATATTGAATGTAATCGTAAATGAGAAAATTTGCCGTTGCTGATTTGTGTGAATTTTGCAACAATTGATAATAATATTTATTAGGTTGATAAATGGAACTGTAATAAGAATTCTACATTTTTTTGTGGTTTTTCTGATTTTGAAGGAGATACTAAACTGATACCTAGAAAATTATCAGCAGAGAGCTTTGCGAGTAAAAAGTCAATAAATGAAGTTAGTATTCAATTGATTCTTAGCCGAAAAGAATTCTCAATATAATTTTATTTTATGATTCTACATTTGTAGGATTTCAATTCATGACAATTTGGAAAAATCCCATCGAAATTAAAGAAAAGCTACTTTTGAAGGAATCAAAATGAAATAATTTTTCAGATGCTGATTTAAAATCTGACATTTTATTGATTAAAATTAATTTTCGCACTTCATTCTGATTGATTTTTAACTGTCGAATAGTAAAAAATCCCCTAAAATGAATGCCCAAAATTATTTTAACTTCTTGAATCTATTTCTGTAACAGAGCCTGAGCTCGAAATCGACTCGGGTTTTTTCTAGTCAACTCGAGCCGAGTTGACTTGGATTTAACTTCTTCATACAAAAAAAAAATTACCGAGTTGACTCCAAAAAAATTAAGTCAACTCGAGTCGATTTGAACCCTATCGACTTGGAGCTCTGGCACTTAGGAAAATGGTTACAGCCTAATCTAGGTCAGTGCATTTTGCCAAGTTTTGTTTAACAACTACCGATCACGCTGTTTTAAGAGTATGCAACTTAGAATCGCAACGACTTGGGTTTGATTCCCTGCCTCCTTAAAATTTCAATTTTAACTTCCTTTAGTATGAAAATCAAGACTTAACAACTGTGCAAGTTCTTTGACAGAAAATAAGCAATTTAAAACTTCTCTAAAATCTCAAAAGACCCACCAGAATGCCAATTAATCAGCATAACAAACATTCAACAACAAATACTGTGTCCACACAAAACTATTCCATAACTAAAATTCTGCTGACTCAGTTCTTTACCTCCAATTTATAATAAACTTATTAAGGTTCCCAAGGATGTGATGAAGTCAATGGTGAAATAAGTATAATTAACATAATTTCCATTAATATTAAATCCTATTTAGGTAACAAGATTAACACAACAGAATTTGTTTCGCTCATTTATGAGCCTGCCCACACGAAATTAATGAAAGCAGCCACAGCACCGGTGATCATGTATGTACAAGAGCGGTTTTTATTTGTTTGATGAATCAATTCATTTACTATGCGGAGATTGAAAGCAAGAGTTATTAAATGCCGATTATAAAACATCATATATTCATAAATTGATATTTTATTATTGTGAGAACCTAAGAGACTATTTCCGATTTAACTGAAAAGCAAAAATTCCTTTTCGCACATTCCAAAATTTTGTTGCTTGCCTCTTTTTTTTTCGTTTCCCATTCCTTTATTGACCTCCAAGCGCTTACCGTTGAATTTCTCAATGAATTACATTGCCTTATTATGACTGATTCATACTCAATGGAATTTATTTTGTGTATATTCTTTCATCTCATTTCTTTTGATTTTATTTTTTACTTTTTTGTAGAGCGCGCGTAAATAGATGATGGAATGTGAGTGTGTTGTTTTCAAAATAGCAATTTTGTTAATCTTCATGATGTACGAGATGATATTGAGCATTCATATGGCGTCCGGGTGTAAAGATATTTGATGAAATTATTTGTGGATTTAGTGAGTAGATTTCGTGAGATTTTGAAATTGTTGGAATGCAAATATCCAAAAAAATAGTTTGCAAGATGTTTTGGAATGATGACAAAAATTATGAAATTGGTTAATAACCTTAATTAGTCATTTACTCGTGGCTTCTATTTAAAAAGAGAATTTTAAGACCCACCATGTGACATGTTACTTTTGTATACATAAAAAGTCACACAATTTCAGAACTCCTCAACTTCTGATCGTGGTAATTGACTGACCCAACTTATATTGTACCAGTGCCAGCTTGGGACCACCAAGATAAACAAACAAAACCTTTGCCTTTGCAGATTAATTCTGATCCAAAGATGCGCGAGGGTGATTCTCAGCTAATGGAAGTAAAACGATTGAGGATGCGCGAAACCACTGCACTCAAACCTAGAGGTACAGTTTAAAATGGGATCCAAACCTCTCATTTGATGACATTGCTGCCTTCAGAATACATAGGAAGGCTGTGAGCTTCATTTTCAGTACATATGGTTCGAAATAGGAAAAGTTGAAATAATGTTCTTGCCAAGTTTCGAACCCATGATCGCTATGTCGGTTTTCCAATAATTGAGTATCGAAGTACTAAACCATTCAGCTACCGAGCCACTTCTGCTCACCAAGTTAAACTTCACAAAATAAGCGATTTCTTGTCTAAATTATTAACCTTGACAAAACTACAAATATTTTGGAACCAAAACTTTTCCTTTCACCCTCATCAGCATCATAGTAAATTCCCCAATCTACCCATTTATTTAAAATTTATCGCAATCTTTTTCATGCCAGAAGTAAAACATTTAAAACTGCAGTTTCACGAACGACAGACGAAAAAAAATAGAAGAATATTCATACATAAAAAATTCCCATAAACAATTTTTTCTTCTTAATTTTCTCACATTTTATGTGTATTAATTTGCAAAACTTGTTCTCCTCAATTTACCGGGCGACATTATGTCATGGAGCTGTGATAATCTGATACTTTTGAGTTTACTTGATAAAGTCAAAAGCTATCAAAAGAAATTTTTTTTCGGGTTTAGTAAAAATATGCAAGAAAGCTAAATCTCATTTGATGAAAAATTAGGTTAAAATGACAATGAACCGTTACGGTTTATTGAGAAATTAAAAGAAGAAAAATAAAAACAATAAAAATAAAATGAGTTGACAAGAGAAATAGCAGCTGTCAAGGCTGATTTACTAGAGGTTGTGGTAAGTGGGGAGATGTTCTAGTTTAATTTATTTTTTGGTGATTCTCAAACAATGCTGTGATGCACCATATAAGTAAGTTCAAGTGCTTAGCTCCTTAAGATTAGACTTTTATTTTATGATTGGATTCACGAGCTAAGTTAAAAAAAATTAAATTAAGGAGGGTGGGGGTACTGATACATCACAATATTAAACTATTAAAATCAAAAACTTACTAAATCCATCACACAAATTTTAAACCCCACCCAATCAACAAAGTGCCCAAGCCTAGAAACTTATTTTCCGTTAATTCCAAATTTGCAAAAAAAATATATATAAAAATCGTGCATTTCAAATTTGACATCATCACAAGTTTTCAGACTTTACAGCCGTTTAGATCCAGTGAGATGACATTTTGGAGAGAATTCACAATTTTTCTCACTTCCTTAGTGATTTTGCGCGGTAAATAGAAATTTAGAAGCACTTAAAATTTTTATTTCTGTTCCGTCCATTTTATAGTGACTTCAATGCCTGTGAATGAGATTAATAAACATTTTACAACTCAACGATCAGAGTTGTCATCATTTGAGTATGAAAGTGTCGATGATCTGAATAGACTGCCATTTTCGAAGCCACCAAATGTGGATTATATTGTAGATTTTGATGATTCAGTTGATTTTAGTGTAACTGAAGCAGCTAACAGGGCAAAAGGTATGAGATTTTAAAAATATTTTAATCCTCTTAAAATGCAGATTTTTGCAGTTAACCGTGGAGATTTTCATCATCTCAGACACACTTTATGATGACTGTGCAAAAAAAAATTTTTAAAGTGAGAAATAGAAGCTAAAGTTTACTCAATAAATATTTGATGACCACAAAAAAAAAGTTGTTTAAAACAGTTTTGATGAACAGTCAACAGAAAATCGGACGCAATTGTTGCATCAACATTAAATGTACGTCAAGAAAGATTCAAAATTATCGGAATAAAATTTAATATTCACAAAAGTTTTAGCAGTTCTTGTTATTTGTAGCGTAAAAATTCACACTTAATATTTAATTGACGTGATAAGTTTTCTTGCATATTTTCGTTCACGAACGTGGGGGATTTTTTTGTGATGTTATATTGACATGGATGATAATCTAAAAAAAATCTCAGTCAATATTTTGCCAATTTCTGCTTATCATTCTAATCTTTCTGGGAAATTTCTTTATTTAAATTAATTGTTCAAATATTTAAAAATTTATTATCTTGTAATATGATTTATTTTTGGAATTCTAACGTTTAGCGAGTTCTTATTCAATTTGTTATACATTTAAATTTACATCTTGGTTAGAAACGATGTGTTTTTCAAGGCTGTGTAGTAGCTAAGAACACAAAGTCCATCAAACGGATTTTTGATTTTATTTGATTACTTCTACATCCTTAAGTGTAACTAGGAACGAGCACTAATGTTTGGAACCTTAGAATTTTGAAATATTGATAGGATGGAGTGGGGTAAGTTAAGGACGGGGTCTCAACCACAATCCAACTCCCCTTCCTCACCTCCTAGCTCCACCAAGTCACAAGATTCTCAAATTTATTCAAAAATTTATTTCCAATTATTCTCGATTGGCACCATTGATATGTTTGCCACCGGCAGACGAGTTGATAGTATAATTAGAACCAAGCGAAAGCCGCTTGGAAGCAACTTTCAAAACATGGACTTCCATTTCAATGAATTTCAATCTGTGCCGATCGGGACTATCATCAGTTTTGTGATCATTTGTCAGCCTTTAATCATTTTATGCTATAAGAAATTCCTCATCGCGACTTAAAAATGCAAAACTCCAAATTACACATCTTATCACGCAGACAAAACCTCAAAGCCAAACATATCTTTCAATTTACAATTTAAATTGACATTCAACTGCTGCAATCTTCATTTGATTTTCAAGTTTCTCTCCACAATTTCTCTCATTCCGTTTCACTTCCAGGGATTAATGCGGTAATTCTTCGTAAGCACAAGCTCCATATCTACATCAAATTGATTTGTGCAGCGCCCAAGAGGAGAGATTAAATGAAATCATTTTAAGATTCATTAAAGTGGCTTCATCATGGGAAGAAAGAAAAATATACAGAAACATGGCTTAATTGAATCCTCATGATCGCAGAAATCGCATATTTTCGGCACAGCAATTGGGCTTCACATAGAAGAAGCAAACAAAAGAGAAGTGAAAAGCATGAAACGGCACATTGTTGATAAACAGAGAACACAATTATTTCAATTATTTATGCACGCAATATGTGGTACTGCATGTTGTTGTTTCATGCATGTATAGTGTTGACGTTTAATGATTCTTAACATTTAATTTTGCACGAGATTCTCTTTTTTTATGATGTAAATGAACCCATACGTTCACACATGTATGAATTTAACATTTATTACATTTGTCTTCTTCTTTTTTTTTTGAGCGTTAATGTAGTTTAGAAGAATAATCTGCTGTTTATTGCACTTGGTCGAGTTGATTGTTTGTTTGTCTGTTCTTGTTTGTCTGTTAATACAGAAATAAATTATAAATCTTGACAGGAGCTTTGTTATAAAAAAAAATTGTCGGATGTCGTTTAGCTTGTCTGTGGTTAATATTTCCTGAAATTTGTGCAAATTCGAGCTAATAAGCTTCATTAGCGTCACTAAAGTTCTTTTTTTTTCTCACTGGATATTTAGCTTATTATGGAGATAATTGGTTTAGCAAAAGATCTTGTCTGTTGCTTTCTCAATTGATTAAACTACCTGCTAGGTATTTTATGGGTATCTGAGTTACTCATTTGAAAGCCTTACTATTCCTAAATACGGTGTTTAAGCAAAGTGGAATCTGGGGTATCGAGACATATATAGATGAATCTGCCAGTGCGAGAATTAGACATCTATGACCAAGTCATTAAGTATCAGACCAGACATCTGTCATCCTCTTTTGTGAAGACGTGGGTTCGATTCTCACCAGATAAATTTCTCTCAATTATCATAAAAAGTATTGTCGTTTATGACAAGGATTTGCACAATGCTGCAGAATGAGAAATTTTGTGAGGTTCCTGACAGAGTAGCAAATGACATGTGACTAGATGTAACCCTCCTTCCCTCCTATAAGCGTGTAGAGTCAATTTCTAAACACAACGCAAAAAAAAACTTCTTTTCGAATCCAACTTCTGAACTCATTTTCCCTCTCATTCAGCTATTCCTCTTCTTCCTCTCATTCATGTTTTATTTTTATTTATGAGAAAGTGCAATTTTATGCCCTCGGAGACCGTTTTACGGAATCATAACTTATGTTAGAAAAACAAAATTAAGCAACTTAGCTCCGGCTTTTTTTTTCATTCACTGTAATGTCACTTGATATTATTTTTAAGTGTTGTTTACTTCTGTTTTAAGTCATTTTGCTCTTCCTTTTATTATGACAGAACAGAAAAAAAAAATTCTAATTAGACAAAATGTTGGTATGTTAATGATTATAATAATTAAAATGATTGTTGTTATTGGTGCAATGACATCTGAAGACGTTAGAAGAGTCAGCTATGACTTTCACTTATTTTTTTACAGTTTTTCTAAGCTACAGCAAGAATGAATGTATTATTATTATTATTCATTTTTCTCACATAGAATACAATTACGAACGTCACGTGTTATCATCTAACGAGCATTTGCGGTCAAAGCTCTAATTAACGGAACAATGATAAATGTAAATAACAATTTTCGTGTAAACTTTTTGGTTTTTCCATGGAACTAAAAGTGCAAGTGTTAAAATGTGTCGTTGAAATTTAGACAACAAAAAATAAAATGTTTCATGCAAGTCATCTATGGAATGAAAAAAAAAATCCTTTTAAGGCACAAATTAGTTCAATGGAAGTTATAATTTTGTAAGCGTGCTTCTAAAAGTTGTTATTAATTAAAATTTCTCCTTTTGAGCATCAATTTTAAATTTTTTACGCTTCAAAATTGAACGCTTCGAGAAATATTCGATGTGATGATATACTGATAAAAGAAATGCTATAGCTCGACGTTTAGTCAAGCTTGAAATATTTTTTTGTGTAATACATTTATAATTTGAATATTTGATAAAATAAATTTTAAAATAATGTGTTATATTGGGTGATGTTGATTAAAGTATGTAGTACAATGTTAATGAATTTGACATTTCAATTCAAAATTTCCAATAATTAAGCCACTTAGTCGTTTCGGTCGATACAACAAGATACTAAAAAATAATAAAGCATGGAAAAATCCCCCCTTTTGAGTTAAAAGAACTGCGATTTTAACTAGAATAGAATCTATTTTACCACACTATTTAAACCTATAATTTATGGTAAAACCCAAACCAGTTGCAAGCTCTGCAGATTGTAAAGACACGAGTACGTCTAAAGAGCTGATGTACCCACATAACTCGTGTGCTCAAGATGCTTTGATGTTATCATCCAAATGCTAATTGCTTTATTCTTGTATACTTAGCAAAGGAGACACAATTTGTGCCAAAGACCTTAAAACTTTACCCAAGACACGAACAAAAGTTATCAAACATGCACTCCAAATTGAGGGGTCCCATTATTTTCAAAAACTTCAATAAGACTGTTTACTTGCTGGAACACTTTAAGCTGTTGTATGTTTTCCCTCTGACTCATTACATGCCCTGTTGCTTAAACTACCACAATTTATATAATTTTTTTATATAAGTCGTTAAAGTCTGGTTGTTTTTGCTAAAGTTTCTCATTAATAATATTATTATTATTATGTAAGAACCTCTAACACCTCCCTTCAACGATAAAACCATCACCTGGCCCGAAACCAGGGGCGTAGCCAGAAAATTTTTAAAGGGGGGGCCCATTTTCGAAAATTAAAAAAATTGTTATTTTGTATCCTTAAATCTATATTCATTCTTCATAAGTTTAAATATTTAATTCATTATTCATACATTAAATTTAATTTTTCGTGCTGATTTTGACATTTCTTTCATCACTTCCTCTACATTAACTGGTTCTTCTCTATATATACTGAATAAAACAATTTTCAGATTTTCGTAGGGGGGCCCGGGCCCCCTATGGCCCCCCCCTGGCTACGCCCTTGCCCGAAACTATTGCTCTACCTATGCAAACCAGCGAGCATTCCTTACATAAAACTTATGAGAACTTGCATTTAAAAATAATTATATAAACATGAAAATCCTTCAAGCAATCATATTATCATGCAAATTCACTATAAATCTCGCATAGACACCACCACATCACATATTTTTGTTGTTTATCTTAAACTACTTTTCAGATCATTCAACTTTGCAGGAATAAAAATAATAATTTAATTTAGAATCCACAAGTCAATGATAAATAATAAAAAAAAAAACTAGCGGGTTTTGTGCAGGTTTGATCTACAAATTTCTAGAAATTGACCAGCTAAACTGTTAATTGTGATGATTATTTTCTATGACGTCGTCATGTGCTAATCAAAATATACAAAACATTAAGTAAGTGAGTGTCCATACGATCTGTGAGTGTCAAAAGATTTACTAATTCAATTTTCACGTTGCTCTGAATCCGACAAAAATTCTTTGATAATTCACATAACGACAAGAAATAATTAGCGATGCCATAAAATACCAATAATTGCATTTATACTCGTCTCAATAATTAATAATTACTATCTTTGAGAACAGTGATTATGCTTCATCGTCGTTATGTCTCATTCGTTCCTAAGGAAGTGCCAACAATAAATTAATAATCTGTCGGCATTCATGCCATATCTATAAAATTACCAGATGCATAATCAAATATTATCATCATCATTCGCAAGCATAAATACATACATTGGCCTTATTTAGTGGCGTCATTATTCAACCAATTTTGATCTTGTAGTCAGTCAGTGAGACGATGATGAAGACGAATGAAAGTAAATTGGAATTGAGATAGGCTTGAATTAATTGGAATTGAGCGCATTTTGCTAATAAATTCTGACTTATTTGTG